TAGCATAGTTTAAGAACAGTGTATCTAATGAAGGACTATATTTTTAACAATTCTTTCTTAATTTACTCAGTATTTAAACTTAATAAATATTGGAAAAGAAGAAAGTTTAGGTGATTAAACAACTCTAAACAACTATATGTGATACAATTGATGAATTGACAGTATATGTCTTCCTTTGAGAATATATTCTTCCCGTATGCCAAATGTCTATATCAAGGGATTTTATAAGCTTCCTTCTTTTCATTTTAATAACTGCTTACTGTGAAGATAGATGGCAGCAGTGAGCTGTCTTGTACAGAGAGGCTGAATATCACTTCATTTCACTGGTGAAGAACTAGAAGGAAACTTCCCCACAGGAAAAACAGCGCATCAAGCAAATATACATGATTTTTTTTGGTTTTGCTCTGTTTTTGTAATAAGTGATAGAGACTTTTCTGTAAAAAAAAAAAAAATTGATTCTGTAAAACTACTGAGGACTAACCCAGGTTGCATGAATATATTGTTCAAAATATTAGTGCTGGGGTGTTAAATCTGTGACCTGCTGGGACGACAACTGATGTCATCCAGTTAGTTTGAACAACATCTGGAGGGGCGCAGTTTGCCCATTCTTGTATTTGTGTATGTACCCCATTTTATTTATTTATTTATTTATTTAGGTCACATCTATGCTGCCCCATTCGCTGAAGCCTCGGGGCAGCTCGCAAACATAAATAAACTTCCTTAATATAAATTTTAAATTAACATTGTGTGACATGTAATGACATGCCATGGTAATTAGTGGAAAATATTTTGAACCCCTGAAGGACATGCTTGAATATTCATATGCAAATCTTATACTTTGGAAATGCCAGTAGCACTTGAAGCCTAGAAGTCAAAAATGATCCTGAGAATGTGCATAAGTATATGCATCTGTAGTCCGTTATTGGGGATTTACACGGTCACAGAGTGGGCAGGAGCCCAAGCCCAACCCTTCCAGGGGTCTGGATAAAGGGAGGGGTCTCTTTTGTTTTAACACAGTGCCCCCTCCTCAAACACACACTAACAGTGAATCCTACTGAATATTTCATATTTCATCACATATGTAATGGTAATTTGCTTTCCAAATTTCTGTGCATCAGATTACAATTGCAGGCACAGTGTTAGGGCAAGCTGGAAAAGGTGAGAACCTACAAAGTTGTGAGATGGTACTGGAGTCAAGGAAGTGGTCTTAATGACCAGCTGTTTTGTCTTCAACCATCAAGGGTTTCTATAGTATTATATACATTGGTAGGAACTTGATTTCTAAATATTGGAATACCCAACTTTCAAATCAGCAAACATGATCAACAAAAGGGTGAAAGCAAAACAACAACAACAACAAAAAACCACACACACACACAAATTCCAACTGTGATAAAGTTAGCAGTGGTTTGTTCAACTCAGTAATCATTTTATGGTATCCTAACTCCCAATGAATAAAGTTAAGTCCTCCTTCTACAGGAGTAATCCTTCTAAGAGCCAAAATTGTGACAGGATCTTTAGGTCTTTGCCTAAAAGCCTCTGTGGGGAGGATTTGCTTGGAGCTATGGTGCGTGCACCAGCTATGAGATAGATGGATACCATAAAGGCAGCCACAGCCTTGAGTTTACAAGAGTTGAGCAGGGCTGTGAATTGCTCAATTGAGCAGGGCAGGGAATTGGAGGGCATTTATTCACAGGATTGCCACATTGTTGGAAATAACTTGATGACATGTAACAATAACAAAGGTACATTTAGGGCAGTAAGCCTCTCATTTTTCACCAGTCAAAATCTTCATTTCAAACTTTTTAAGGGAGACATCTTTATCGTATTTGATTCGTAAATTGATGGCAGTTAATAGCAATTTCAAGAAGGCAATTTCCCTAGGGAAATAGGGTCAAAAAAGGAAAGGGTCAACAAGCATTCTTTAAGTGATGAACCTCTGAAGCAATTTGCAGGGTGGGGTCTCTTCAGCTGCTTTAGATGAAGAAAAAAAATGGAGGCAAATCTTATCACAGCCTGCTATGTTTTGCTTTGATTCTCCATGTATTGGATGCCATCAGACATTCTTTCAGAGGAACCCTGTAGAGTTTGAAATGGGAGAGTCTGTGACAGAGAAACCACAAGCACTGCCAGGCTTGCTTCAGCCAAGAAAGAAACTATGTGCATCTGGGGAGTGGCCTTCTAATTTTTCTTTTCCTATTAAGCTTGGTAGCTTTTAATGTATTTTATTCTTTTTTTTCCTATTGGCTACTAAGGTAGGGAAATTCACTGCATTAGCTCCCAAGCTAACATAGATTTTTCTTTTCTTGGGGAGTGTTCTGGGGGAATAAAGGGGATTTGGAACTGGTAGATCCAAGCTGTCCCCAGCACAGTCCTATTTCTTTTTTCTTTTTGCTACCAAAGAGAGGAGTTCTCTGGCAGCAGGAAATCTGCTTCACTTGCAGAAGGAGATAAAGAAAGAGGTCCACAATAGCTTAAGAACTCTGACATATAGCAAAACAGAATAGTGGATTTGAAAGTGGCATACATACCATTGAGTCCAGCCTTTTGCTCAGTGCAGGATTCCAAGTTTAAGCACTCCTGACAGATGGCTATTGAACTGCCTCTTGAAGGCCTCCTAAGTGGGAGAACCTACCAACTCCCTAAGTAATTGGTTCAATTGCTCTTCTGCTTTAACAGTAATTTTTTTCTAATGTCCAGCCAGAATCTGGCTTCCTGAAACTTAAGCCCATTATTCTGTGTCCTACACTGTATGATTATTGACAAGAGATACTGGCCCTCCTCTCTGTGACAGCCATTAAAATGTTTGAAAAGTGGAATCATAGATCCCATCAGATACACTCTTCTCAAAGCTTAAACATGCCCAATTATTGTATGAAATGAAACTGATTTTTATTGTTTTCTCTATTATTCATTACAATGCATAACAATTACCTATTATACTTCATGGCTAAGACATTAAAATTTGATCAATTATCTAGATAATTTAATATTGCCATCACATTTGTGGCTAAATAGCAGCTTCTGCTTTGTGGTCCCTATGTTGGCTGTGAGAGCACATTATCCTGGGTGTGACTGCTTAGAAAACAACTTGGTTAACAAAGATAAGATGGACAGTAAGCAAGACAATATATAAAAATGTCTGTTTGAAAGTAATCTTTCCATAAATAGGTTGATTTCCAGTTTTTGCCATTGGGCTTATGAAAATTATATAAATGCATGATTACTACTTTAGAATTCAAGCTTGGACATAACATTATTGATGGTTTTACAAACTTTCCGAACCTCCTTGAAATTAATTTCCCTTACAAAATACAGATTTATGCATTCTGTTGTTAGATGTCTAATACGTAAGTCTAATACATAATGGTTTAATGTTAGATTCTGTAGGGATCTGGTTGTGAGCGAAAGATCATTGCAATAAAAAGTGCTGAGCAGTATGGAATCAGACTACTTAGGGATGTTGATAAGGTATAAAGGAGTGGAAATATGGAAGTCTCAGCTGGTACAGTTGCACTTTGATGGGGCTTCTAAATTTTGTCTAAGGCGAGACTGCTTATTTCTTTGGTCATGTCATACTAGGCATACTTGGAAAAGAAATGTAGTGATAATTTGTGCAAAGGTATATGATAGCATGTGTGTGTTCCACTGGTTGAAAAATGAGTGTTGTGAGTTTGGAAGAGCCTGTCATATCTGTCACTCCTAAAGCATGATACTTAAAGGTGTGTGTGAGAAGGGGGAGTCCAGCTTTGATCCTACTCCAGCTTTGGAATGTGTACATATAATTTAAAAGGTCTTCCAGTCAGCTTCCTGCTGAGCCTCATGTTGTCTTTTCAAAAACTTCTTTATACAGACATCAGTACTTGTTAGATGAATATTTACATGTGCTTCAGACCATTTATTCAAAATGGGTGGACTACAACTAGATTTAAATAGATGCTAAGGAGACAGGAAGGCAAAATTCATTGGAAAGATTATCTTTGGAAGTGGACATTATTTCTTACCATCATCATTTTTCCAAGGCAGCTTTAAAACTCATATAATAAACTATATATGATAATAATGCAGCAGGCATTTATAAAGTGTTAATCAAACAACAGACATAAGCAATAAACCTTACTAAAAAGCTGCAGCATAATTGCAGCTACTGAGTGGAATGGTCCAGTGAAATATAGCTCTGGGGAAGGCCAGAGAACAAGTAGATTTTCATATTGAACACCCTTCATTTTCACTTGATGCTGGTAAAACCTTCTTCCTTTCTTGCTTTTTTCACCTTAATGTCATTACTTAGCTTAGTTTTAAAGTTCCAGGTCAGCTGGTGGCTGGGTAAAGGATATTGAGAGAAAGCTGGAGTAACATGCATTTAGTCCTGCTATAGCAAACAATAGTTATGTTGATAAACATTGGTTGGTAATTAGTGCTACATAGGCCATATTGGACCTGAAACCTGCTAGTTGTTGACCAGTGCCATGTATTTAAGAGAACATTCTGGGTTATCAGTCATTTTGGTATGCTGTAACTGAGGACAAATTGCCTGTCAGTTACAGCCTGGACAACCCACAGAGAAAGGCACTGAACATACGGCCATCTTCAATGTATTCAACTGAAAATATTGTCAATGATGCATCTGTGGAAAACTGATGTCTCAAATCAGCACAGTCTTACAGCTTGCTTTATCTTTGAAATAAAACCTCTGTTTATGTTTGTATCCTTTCAGGACTTTTAAAATGAAGGTATGCATTCTTTTCAAGCCAAGCGAAGTAACTGATTACTGATTTTTCAAAACAGTTATAACATTCAAAGTTGGAAGGCTTTTTTTTCCATTTTGCTTCTCTTCCCCAAGTTTCTTCTTTCAATACCTTTAAGTATCTTGTATGTTATATAAGTTTTGATAATAAATCTGCTTTGAGACTAATTGATGAGCAGTGCATTCAGAGCTTACATTTTTACTATACTTCATAGAAGCCCAAATGCCTTTTATTTATGCTTTCATTTCCCAGGTATAAATGACCAAGGACTATACAGAGTTGTGGGGGTGAGTTCAAAAGTCCAAAGACTTCTGAATTTGTTAATGGGTACGTCTCTTACTTTTATATCTACTTTTACTATACCATTTTTACCTGCTGTCTTTTGTGTGTCTTTAAGAAATTTTTCATCTACTATAGTGGTACCTTGGCTCTCACGAACTTAATCCATTCCAGGACTCTGGGAGTGACCCAAATTGGTCATGAGCCAAGTTAAATTTTCCCATAAGGTTCAATGTAAATAAGGTTAATCCGTTCTGTAACCATCTTTAAAATCAGAAAAATGTGAAGCAAAGTGACAACAAATATTGTGGCCATCCTCCCCCCTACCCCAAGCACAAGCGCGGCCATCTCCCCACCCACCCCAGCGCGACCAAGATTGCACCTGTCATCCCTGCAGGTGCCCATCATCTCAGCACGCTGGGGGGAGGGATGAGACGGGTGTGATCACAGGCGCTCTGGGGGAGGAAGAGATAGGTGCAAAGGGCGTGCTGGGGGAGGGAGAGATGGGCATGATCTCGGCCATCTCCCAACTCGGTGGGGGGGGGATCACAGTCACCACCCAATGCGGAGTTCGTTACCCGAGTTAAAATTTTTATGAAATTTTTGTTCACAACCCAAAGTGAGACGTTTGTGAGCTGAGGTACCACTGTATTTAGAAGTTTTTCTCTACTGATTGAAATCTAGAAGGATCAAAATCTGGTTCCTATGATTCCTTCCCTACTTATGTCACGTTAAAATAAATCAGAGTAATATGTTGAAATCAAAGTTGGTTCAGAAACATTTTTTAAAGTATATCAAAGAAACTTGGTCTAACTTGTAACTTTGCATGAGAGGTATAGACTAAGAATTAATATAGAACAGACTTATTTTATGCAGCTGAATTACTCCACATTAAATTCCTCAGATGGATTTCACTATTCATTTTTTTAAGTGAAAGTCTTCTGTTTTAATTTCATTTTGATTGGTGGTACTACTATAAGTTTCTCTTTATTTTTTGGGCTCTGTGTATAAAATTTGAACTTTTACTTTGAACTTTCCCTACCCACAATTCTGACTATACTTCATTACCCTCTACAAGGTATGGGTACTTAGATGAAATACTTCAGTTACCTATCATCCTACTCCACTACAGCAGTCAAAACTAAGCATTTCTTGACTTTTTGTCTAGAACACTTGACAAGTACACACAGTCAGATGAGTCAACTGGGGTTTCTTTAGCTTTCTGAATCTCCCAAACCTGTCACTTGACAGCAGCACTGGCCTGATTCTCAAGGATTCATTGATATTCAGAGAAGCTAGTTTGCAACAGGCTCTTCTCCAGAACCATGCATACTCCATCTGTGCTGATAACACAGTGTTCTTTGGCAGAGAAAACTAGAGGAAGCCAGCAAGTGAATTCATTTCATTACCCCAGACATTATGTGAATGGCAAAGCACTTTTATATTATATGCTACTGTCAAATCCTTGCCACCTGTATGACTCTCTCTTCACAGGCTGTCTCTTCAGGATAAGATGTCAGGCTTGAGATCCTATATTCCATGCTATGTCAGTTTAGCATAATAATCTTACTAAATGCTTATTTTCTTGATATTTTTTAATCACTGTTAGCAGTTCTGTAGTGTTCAGAGAAAGCATGTCAACTTCATTGTATTTTCAAACTTCATGTTACTGAGGAAGTATTAGGAAGTGAAACAGAATATTATGAAAAGCCAATGTCCGTGTGATGGACATTGGCTTTTGATAATATTTTGGCTTAAAGTGAGTGCAGTTCTTTACTGCTTTTAGCAACGACTCCAGGGCTGAAAAGGCAGTATGATATCATTTTCCTGCTAGTTGTATGGAAGTATTTGTTTGTTGTTAGGTCCAAGGTGACTAAGTTATTGTAAACTACCATTGTTTGTTTTCTGTCTGTCTTGAATCTGATACCTACCCTTGACTATTGAGACTTACATTTGTAAGATCCAAATAAAATGGACTTAGAGTACACTTAGCAACTGGAAATATTTAATAACGATTTCCTCCTGTGCCTTTTCTTAAATTGATATCAGAAACTATTTTTATCCAATGTAACAATTATAATTGAAACTAGAGACCTACATTGAAAGAAGAATAAACTTCTTTATGTCAGTTATTTTGTCATGCTGGCTGGGGGTGATGGGAATTGAACTCCAACAATACTTGGAAGGAAATGTTCCCTCCCCTAGAGAACATTAAAAAAATTATTACCTGTAGTCTTAACTGAGTATAGTCTGTTCCACTACTTAATAATTTGGCTACTTCATCCTGTTGTATGTATTGGCCAAGCCTACGAGTGTGTGTTAGCTGTGCTCATGCATCAGGATGAACTAGTTAAATTCTGAAGTGGTAGAATGGCCCGTATTCAAACTACAGAGTTACATTTTTTAATGTTCCTCTAAGGCAAGGGAAAAAAACAGTTGCTCTTCAGATGTTTTGGAAGATTATGAAAATACAGGTAGAGGGTTCAATTAATATTATCTACAAGCCCATTTTTTAATTTCACCTTTCCATTGTAGCCAAATCATATAATACCATTTTCCTTCTCTTACTCTGCTCGCTCGCTCGCTCTCGCTCCCCCCCCCACTTACCCTCACCCTCCTCTTCCCTCCCTCCCTTTGCGGGCTGCAAGATACAGACAAACCCCTCTTCCAGAGATCTGAAGTGATCACAAGCATAAGGCCTTTTAAATTATGCTAATGGCAGTGGGAAATTACGATGAAGGTCATATGTAATTTGGGACCATAGGTTGCTCACTCCTGTCCCATATATAGGCTTCAGAAATATAAGGCTTCAGTATATAAGGCAGCCAGTGCAAATAGTAATGCCTCCTTCCATAATTTGAGCAATTTCTGTGATTCATTAGCCCTGAAAATGCTGTCCACATTATTGAAGAAGCTTGTTGTATCTGTCTTGGACTACCTAAAATCTTGAAAGTTCTTGTTTCTGTCTGAAAAAAATGGATTGCAGATATTTGGTACATTCATCCTTAATGCAAAATTACTTAGCAGCATGCTGAACCACTAGCTTCACTTGGGGCCATTTCCTATTTAGTTATGATCTCCATGATGAACATACCATTGGTGCTGTTTAGCTTGTTGCATTTTAAAGCTGCTGTCAAAAAAAATAAAAAAATAAAATTCAGCTTTTGTTAAGTGTTCCCTGCAAATTAGAAGGTCTGACACATTCTGTCTATGGCATCAGTTTGCTGAACTGTTGCCAAATCATCTCTCAGTCGACCCTAACTTTGCATGGGTGCTGTGAGGATAAAACTATGAAACCTTGTTTGCCCTGCCCTGCGTTCCTTGGGGAAAAATGTAATCAGTGAATAAAACTTGTCAAAGTTATATTAAATCTTTCTTTTATTAAGAATGTGCTAGATTATGCTGAATGCCACCAAGCATCTGCATAGAACTTAAAGACAGAATTAAAATTGTCCATTTTTTTCAGAAGGCCATAAAAAGAACACATTTTTAAAAGCAGTGTTCTTTTGTAAATTTACTGTTATCAGAATCTTGAGAAAAGTTAGGGACTATCCAGAATTTTCATTCATTATTTTGCAGTTATTCTGTGATAGCTGCTAGTGTCATCAGTATAAATATATTTACTCAGAACCATTCTTTCATTGCACAATAAAATGAACACCATCAGTTAGAATGAACCTTCACAAGTTCCAGAGTGTTGAATGATATAGAATTGTGCATTTGGCCCCTGAGCAGAGACATAGATTGGAATCAAGCATTACAGTTCTGTTCATAAAATAAGTCTTCCAGGAGCAGGAACAATCCTTTTGTGGTAAGAAATCAGTAGCATGAGAACAGTATAAGAACAAAAGAAAAACCTGTCCTTTTATGCATAAAGCTTATACTTATTAAATGAATGCATTTTCTCATTTAGACAGCTGTATAAGGGAGAAAGGTTAAAAAATGCTGCATCTCAAGCTAATCCCTGAAGAACTGTCCCATAAAACAAAAATCATTAAATCATATTTAACTTGAAAATTAATAACAATTAACAAAATTCCTACCAAATTTAGTTGTAGGGAATGGAGAGCTGTTTCCTACCATCATTTTATAACCATATCCAGCAGATAATTTCATCTAATAAAGTGGGGTATACTCCACAAAAGCTGATGCCGGAGTAAAACTCCTAACTTTTAAGATTCTACAAGAGTTGTTTGCCGTTTTCTACCCAGCAATTGTGTCTTCTGGAACACTTCCAATTTATTTCATTTTGACTTAGTGATGGGATTTTGGTGGGAAAGGCCACTACATTATAAATTAGCAAGGCACAGTTTTTTTGTTTTGAGAAACCCTTTTTGGATAGGTATGAATGAGCCGGTGAGAGTGCCCCCTCCCTTCTGATTTCAGTTCCAGGACTGTGGTGTATTAATATTATTCAAGTTTTGGAAGAGGATAATAAGTTACGAAAGAACAAAATTGGACATTTCTTTTAGATGGTGGTTAATATTTGCAAGTTAATAGAAAGTGTTGTTTGGTTGTATTTTGAATTTAAGTTTAAATAATAAGAGAAAAATCTGTTGCAAGAATGAATTGGTTGGCACATCACTTAGAAGAGAATGATTTAGTCTCTTTTAAAAGGACCCCACCTTTAATCGAGTATCCTAATTTGATTTATTGCTCCTCTGACAAGCTCAATTAGACTTGAAATCTGTATTGTATGAACTGATCAAAATGCAATCAGTATCAGTTACCACTAGTGTAGTTTTTTTAATGTTTTTGTAACTTGTTCTAAGAAAACAGCACATTGAAATATATGTTATGCTTTTTAAAAGCACATTAGTTCATGGTGTATTAGACTGTGAAACACATCTTTAAGAAAATGACTGCACAGATCTCTGTTTTTTAAAAATAAAGCCTGTACTTAGTTTCATTTCACTTTCTCTGTCAGGAAGCATATTTTTGCATTTGATCATACGGGCATTTTACAGCTCAGTGTTACTGGACCCCCTGGATAATTAACAGCAAATGAAATCAATGTAGGGTTCAGGGTATTAAGTAGCATATACAGAATTGTTTGACAGTAAAAGAAGAAATATTGAATGTATAGCTTCCTTTTATTATACATTTACCCTTCAAGATAAAGCTATCTCTAGTATTGGTTAAGTACCATATTTCTAGTAAACATCTTTTAGTAATTTCTTGCATAGTAACTGCATGATTATGTGATTTTTTTTAACTTCACTACACTTGAGTAATATTTTTTAACAGTTATAAATGCAGCTCCTTTTACTACTATAAAAATAGCTACTATTTCATCCCCATCAAACTCCCATTCTGCAAATAGATTTCTTCAATTATTTTTCATTGATGATAATGTTGTATGCCACCAACAAGTATCTGCAGTAATGTATATTGCTACATGCTGGTTATTTTCTGAACTCACACTAGTGCTGAACCAAGCCCATATGATTTGCTTTATGATGGGGGCTTGGTTGATTGTAGATTGACTACTGATGCATAGCTAACACCTACAATCAATATTGGGACTGTTGGCTTGACTGAAAGGGCAATATGAAGTCAGTTCCTGCATTGGACCAATCAGATCAAAATCTATAGCTGCTCTTCTTAAAGTCTTTATTTTATAGGTTTGGTTAATAATGAAACTTTTAATCCTCTGTCTATTCTCCTGTCCCTTTATGGGTTATTTTCTAGATGCAAAAACATGTAATGAAGTTGATCTGGAGAATTCCACAGAATGGGAAGTGAAGACAGTAACAAGTGCCATGAAACAATACTTGAGGTAAACTCACTACTTTAACTGCAGTTATGATAGACTAAATCTTTACTTGTAGAGTTGAAAAATGCACTTTAAGGATTAGATTTAAGGGCGGTATCCAGTGTTGCCTATCCACAGATGGGACATATCACCACTTCCATTCAGTGAGCCAGCCCCACTTATTCTGTTGTGTATGTGGTGCCCAGTGGTGGTGCCCCTCCACTTCAGTGGTGCCCCTTCACTGAAGCCTTAGTGTTTCTAGGGGCAAGTCCTGAAATCGCCAGAAATAATTGTTTCTAGAATGGAGTAGTGTTTCTGAGTTCCCTTATGAAAAGTCTGCCAACCCTGCCATAGTTCAGAAACTAGTGTTTTTGCTTGTTGCCTGTGAAAGTGCTAGATCTTAGTTGTGCCAGCACCGGTGCTACTTATGTTAAGTGATCAATGGGTTTGGCCACTCATGTGTGGTCACCTTTAGATAATGCTCAATGTCTCTGATAATGCAGTTTGTGAGAATAACAACTGTTATTATATGAACATATCATCTAAATACATACAGGCCTTGGGCTAAGGATCCTAGAACCAATGTAATGAGACAATTTATTTCCTTATACTAGTAATATTATCCAAAGCTTTTATGCACTTTTGTACGTTAAAATGTCATGTGCACTATCAGATGCCAAGGGATATCTGAAGATGGGAATTCCTTGCACTTTTATACAAAGTATGTTACAGAGTGGCACAGCTCAGTGAAACAGTGCAGTGAATATAATGTAGTAAGAGTATGTGTATAGGCTTGGTTTTTTGGGATGTTTGTGCTTGTACATGGAATACAAATATAAATTAGTAGGCATTTCTTTATTTCTACTGAATAATGTCATTTCTTTTGTCTTAAAACAGAAGCCTTCCAGAGCCTTTAATGACGTATGAGCTACATGGGGAGTTCATCATTCCTGCCAGTAATTATTTGACTTACATTCAAATCTTAAAATAGTAACAGTGGGGATCAGGGGCACAGTAATTTCAAATAAATTGCTTCTTTTATCAAATTAAGTAACTGACTAGTACTCAGAATCTTTTAAATCAAAGTCAGTTGTGAATTTTGTTTTTTTTTTTTTCCTTTCCCCTTCTTTTTTCCTGTCCCCATCCTCAAGATACAACCAGTCAGGAAATTATAAAAAACGTTCAAAAGCATAATATTCTTCTTACTAATAGCTTCATTTAGTCAGATGTGGTCAGTAATCTTTGAACTACTCATTATATTAGCTATGACATGTCTGACTTAGTAAAAAGCAAGTGTTTGTCTTACTGTAGAAGTACATGCTCATGCTTTTAAAATATTTTTTCACATGAAACTTCATAATCTAATACATCCAGAAAATGAGAATGACAGACTTTAACATCTTTAACTTTCCTGTTACCAGATGTTTCTTTGTAGTGCAATTCTTGTGAAGTCCATATTCAAAATAAGCATTTTATTATTATAGGTTCCTCAAAATAACTAATTTCAGGTAGAATTCAATGCTACTTAACTGAAAGAAAGACAAGGATAAGGCAGCACAGAAGTAGCATTTGGCAAAATATCAACCAGATAGATTGTTCTGCCTCTGACACTACTGGGGAAAAAAGGAGAAAACAAGTCCCTTAAAAGTTTTGAAAAAGGAAGAAACAAGACTCATACCCCCTAATTTCACTTTACAATTCCTGCACATTTGGAAAGAAAGTGATTTAAGCCACCCTGATTGTTGTAAGCCGCCCCGAGGCTTTGGCGAATGGGGCGGCATAGAAGATTACTAAATAAATAAATAAAATAAATTTATTAGCTCTTAGAAAATAGTATTTTCTGGAGTATTCCTACATCTAGTGTTTCAAACTTAACACACACTACCCTGAAGTGCAAAGTAAATATTCAGAACTTTTAAGTTTAAAATAACCTTAAACAGCAAAGAAACAAACATACTACATAGTATAAGTTTTTATAGATTTCCACTATATTATTTTTAAAAGGTAGTCTACAGTTATGGTGCTAGAAGAAGCTTGAACAAGGTTCAGCTAGTTAGTTGAGCTACAGTCCCACACTGATCTTATGTATGCATGCATGTACATATCTACAAGGGTGAGAAATTCAACACATGTGCATGTATGCACCAAAGGTTTGTTGTCATTTATGTGATTCACGCAGAATTTAATGTTTTAATGTATTTTGTAGTCGATGTTGTAAGCCGCCCCGAGGCCTTGGCAAGGGGCGGCATAGAAATGTTTTAATTAATAAATAAATAAATAAATAAATAAATAAATAAATAAATAAATTTCTGTACAGAATAGTGATTTGAAGCCCTGCCCACCTCCCCTGCATATGCTTCAGGTATATATCTGGTTTGCCTCTCAGTTACACTACACTGTCATTTTTGACGCATTCTCCTGCCTCACAGCACACACATACACACTCACAAATTCTTGTCTCTAGGATAATGAATGGAGTTTCTTTCCATATTTTCTTCATTCTGGATTTCTCTCTTCTCTGAGCTTTTTTCACCTTTCTTTTTGCTCCTCAGTAGCACATGGCTTCTGAGGTTTCCCTCAAGAAAAGTGTCTTCCCTAGCAGTTTAAATAGCTTCAAACTGACAGGCACTTAAACTTTTAACTATGCCTTGAAGAGCCCACAAAGTGAATTCTTGCCTCCACTGGAAGGCCTTCATCAAGTAGGTCAGGAGGAATGGAAAATGTATTTTGGAGTCCTCTTTTGGGAACAAACACTGAAGGTGGCAAAAGCACCCCATGCATACTACCTTGGATAACATTTGCAGAAGGCTGACTCCATTCACTTCTTCAGTTTCCCCAGCTAACATCATAGAGTACCCCCACCTTAAGGGGTACCAGCTTGTCCAACACTAATAGCTTTGGTTATCCCACCCCCCCCCCCTTGGTTCATCAACTTGAAACTGGCATGCTGATACTAAGCTGAATCAAACAGACCAAATCTTGAAGTCAGCATCCTACAAATAACTGTGTTCTAGAACCTAAGTACAAGAAGCAAAAAAGAACTGGTCAGATAAAATCCTACATTAAATCTGAACTTACTTCCATCCCAATCCAGCCATGTATGGCTAAGATACAGCCACAAACATCATTGTATCCACCAGAACTTAATCTAGAAAAACTACAGATTTCATGTGATGGTATCTCTGAGGCCAAATCCAGTACTTTGCTCAATACTGATAGATGAGTCTCAAGAACTCCTTACTGGAGCCATAGTATTTTTCTGAGGTGCAATCTCTGCAAAAATATTTAAGAATTCAGTACCAGTGAATGCCACTGGCATTGTCATGCTCTTCAGAAAGTTTCTGGCATCATTACAGCAGGTCCTCCTGCTTCTGCCTATTTCTTCCATACATTTATGACAACCATTACCCACCTAGAATGTATTATTACTATAGAGATGCCATATACCCATGCTACTGTCCATGTTCTCCACACTTGAGATACCTTAAACCAACATTGTCTCATGTGGTATCCAAACAGTTAGAAGCCCAACTTCTGGGTTTCTCTGCACTACTGGACTTAAGCCAACCCCTCCATCTCCCTCCTTTCCACTGAATTTCTCCCAGGATATCCTGAAAAACTCGCAGCCCGACCACCACCATCCCTGCCAGAAATCCAGCTTACTCAGCCCTTTCTACCTCCCAATAACAAAACACCAATGAAGGACCCACCATTGGCACAATAAGGTTATTCTTCCAACTGCTCATTTTTATCTTCCATCCAATCTTCAGCAACCTCCCTGGAGCTGCAGTTAGGGATCAAAACCCTTTGTTCACTTTAGATAGTATCAGGCCCTGTGCTGAACAAGAATGTCCCCCTTGGCTTGGAAATCAAACCCCACAGATCACATTTATTTATGCGTTCCACCCCATCCATACTTCTTCTCAGTGAGCAGTTGACCAGATACTTCAGCTTGCACTTCCTATACTTAACAGCCTGGAAAATAGCCAACAATTTGTGGTATCTCCTAATGAGGCATACCAATAGGTAGAAGCTATAACATCAATACAATATTGTTGAAAAGAGCAGTATCTATGTTACATCTGTGAAGTGCCCTTAAATATTGTGGCCAGGTTTGTTTTTAAGGGAGGACAACTGAAGTCTCCATGAATCCTAAAGCTGTACGTACACTATGCCGATCAAGTAAGAAGATCATCCTCCTATAGTAAACTAATTCCATAGTGTGCACTTAGTGGCACACTGAAAGAAAAACTGTCAATTTATTTTTAAGAATAGATGTGGTGGGAAAATAAACATTTAAAATATAATTAAAATAATATCTAATTTCTTCTACTGAAAGGAAAATCTAGGCATAAGAAGAGCTGATGAACATATTTACATATAAGTTTTATTAAGTATTTATGTTGGTTACTGTTCATGACTAAACACTACTGCTTCATTTTCTTATGTAGAAAGTGGCAGTCCAGAATCTCGTGTTAATGCTATCCACTTCTTGGTCCATAAACTTCCAGAGAAGAACAAAGAAATGCTGGATATTTTGGTGAAACACTTGGCAAAGTATGCATCTTTTATTCTAATTGATTTTTCAGATATTTTCTTTGTGTCTTATTTCAGAAAAGAATTTTGTTCTTTGTAGGAAATAACTTGCAAAAGCAGATGTGAAGCTTCCTTAGTTCTATGTGACTTAAGGAAACAGGCTGAAATGTAATCCATTAATAAAATCATATAAATGTAGACTTAACAGCATTGCTGTTCTGTGCGTTTGACTGAAGGTGCAAAGAATGGGAGATTATTTGTTTTAGCTTTTGTTTTGTTTTTGCAAACTAATAGATAGTTGGAAATTTGTTAATAAAATTAAATTGGCCTTGCACCTCCCTGTTAAACTCAAAATGTATTGGTATATGGTTACATTATAAGGTGAAAATGTCAGATTATATTTATTTCAAAGATTGAAAAGAAAAGTGAAAAGAAACATTGTTTAAGTTTAGTGTCTCTGGCTTAGAGAAATACAACCTTTTTTTAAAAGAGGTCTGCTTTATATAATCTTGGTTCTCTCTTTCTGTTCTTGAAAAGTGTTTCAAATCATGCGAAAAAGAATCTCATGACTGTAGCAAATTTAGGAGTAGTGTTTGGACCAACATTAATGAGGCCACAGGAAGAAACAGTGGCTGCCCTGATGGACCTGAAGTTTCAGAATATTGTGGTGGAGATCTTAATTGAGAATCATGAAAAGGTAAATAAGGGGAAAAGGGGAGAACTCTGCTTTTATTCCACAGTTTATGTAGAATTGATGTAAAGTGACCATTCACTCTTAGACTTTTTTTTCCTGAAGAAAGAATAATGTTGCTTTAGTAAGACTGTGAGTGCCATTGCTTATAGAGACAAAGGAAAGCCATCCACACACAAGATGGAGCAACAAAGCTTGCAAAAGTTAAAAAAAAAACCCTGCAGGACAGGAACCTACTGATTAGCTTTAGGAGGGAAAGAAAAAACTTGAAGGAGAGGTGGAATTAAGTGGGCATATTCTACAGAAGTGCATGACTGGCTGAAACACCAATTCAGGTACTTTGTGTAGCAACTCTTGTGATTTGTGGTGCCCTTTCCACTGTGAGTTAAACTTGTTTGTAAGGAGGTTATATTATCTCTACAAGTGTGATAATTTTGTAAATGTAGAAAATCTGGCAAACTACTTTCTAAACATATCTATAAGCCATTTGTTATCATCCACTCAATGGCTAGAAGCTTTCTAAATTCTGCAACCTGTCCTTTTCTTTAGGCCTTTGGCTTAATTTTTTCTCTACTGCAACTAATCTTAATTTTACTCATTTTTAATGTTTTGTCTCTATACTATCAACGTTTCTTACTAGTTCCTAGTAACTGCTTCATCTCAGATACAGATATCTCATCTATTTCTTCATCTCAGCTATGGATATCCTAGATAGTACCTAGTAATCTAGGTCACTTAAATGCTTCATATTGTGGGAGGGGAGAAGGTATGACTGCAGAAAATAAGTCATTAAAAGAATACCATGAAAAGAAAAATTCTTGTATCTTTCTTATTTGGAACTCCACTTACCTTTCAAAAGAAAGGCAAGATATAAATGAAAATAATAAATCAGAACAAAGGAAGAAGAAAGATGCCAATGCACAATATAAAAAAATCTGTCAGGGTCCTAGGCATGGGCAGGACAGAGATACTGGGACCAGAGCAACAGAATTTTGAAGCAGAGCAGAGTCCAAACACAGCCCAAAGGCTAGTAGTGAAGTCAGAATTATAGTCATAGTCAAGGAACAGGGTTCAGGAACAAGGAATGCATATCAAGACAAGTACAAGGTCACAAACAAGCCAAAGATCAAGTACCAGTAAGATAATACAAGCTGGGAACAGGTGCCTGGATAGGATTCAGGAGCCGTGCAGGTATTGCGAGCAAGGCAATACAATACAATACAATGCACGGTAAGGCACATTAGGAAGCAGATCCAGCAAGGGTCAGGCAAGATACAGGAGATAAAACACAGCTGATAAGAAGCCATATATTACTAAAGCTTTTCATGGAGGGAGATTTTTCTCTTATATAACTCTTCCCCCCCAGGTCCACCAGCTGGCATTCATCAAAAAGGTGAAAGCTTCAGCTTGGTACTTAACCTGCAAATACTACAGTGGCCATTCCAGTTCTGGCCACCAGATGGAACCCCAGAGCAGCCCAGATCCTGACAAGATCCTCTAACTATAAACAAGGCAGTAAACAAAGGAAGGTAGTATCTTGGTCTGAAGTTATTCAGGCTTTGTACAATAGTGGATCCGACCTCGAATATGAATTGTTACTAATATACTGCCAGTGCAGTTCTTTTAACATAGATAAGCTTCAGAACAAGGAGCAAAGATAGCCCCACACAGAGTGAATTTACAGAAGTCTAATGGTGAGGTTAAGTGCATGGACCATCGTGGCTAGGTTATCACTCTCCAGGACATAGTTGGCACATCAAATCATGGGCAGCCCAGGCCAATGATGACACCTGGGCCTCCATGGAGAAAAATATATCCAGGAGTATCCCCCCCTGTACCTGCTCTTTCAGAGAGAGTGTACCCCATTCAGAAGCACCTAGGAACAACCGGTCCATAGTCAGGATTCAGTTTATTGGCTCCCACCTAAGTCATGGTTGTATCAAGGTACTAGCTCAAAAGGTGCATGAGTTCTCCTGATTTAGATGTAGCAGGGCAATATAGCTGGGTATCATCAGCATATAGTGATACTTTGTCTGATATCCGATGATCACTTCCAGTGGCTACATATTAAATAACATTGGGGTTGAGTTGGTGCCTTATTTCAGCTGGCACAGTATCCAGCATCATCACCAAATGCAGTTGTCTAGAACCATCCCTGTAAGTACAAATTAGAACATTGCATACAACTCCCAACTCATGCAGGCAGTCCAGAAGGATACTGGATACCAGAAGTAGTCAACAGTGGGAAAGGCCACCAGGAGATCAAGGAGAAAAATGTAAGGGTTGCATTCCCTCTATTCCTCTCCTGAGAAAGGTAATCTGTCAGATCAGGGCTGATTGTGTCCCAAAACCAGGCCTGAGCCTGATATAAAATTGATATAGATAATCAGCTTTATTGAATAGTGCCTGCAGGTTAGATGCTACCCATTCCGGAATGCCTTATTCAGGATCAGTGTGTTTGTGGCCAGACAATAGTTAGCATAGATCTCTGGATGCAGGGAGGAATTTTTTCAAGAAAGTTCACACTACAGCCACCTTCATGACAGTAGAGAATATACTATCACTCAATAATGTGTTCACTGTCTATCTGGTTAGTCCTTGTTGGCCAGCCTGAATAAAGGGCAAAGATCAAGAAACCATGTGGGTTGTGCAAATGGAAGCAGCTTGTCCACATCCCCAGATGGCAAAAAAACTAAAATTATTCTCACAAAACAGGTCCTTGGAAACACAGAGGGTTTCCAAGAACCCCAGTACTAGATTTACTAGATTACATGAAGGTAAACCCCAAACCACTCAGGAAAGCTAAGCTGGATGGCAGTTCAAGATGCAATGGGATGGCAGTGTAAGCTACCTTTGTTGCCCACCTTGTGATATAGTAGGGACAATTATATGTTCACATGTATATTTAGTCATAATGCCATGTTCCAGTCACCTTCTGACCTGCCTAATAATCGTCCAGAGCTCCACAGTACCAAATATGACACTCAGGAGTGATTGTGTTAATCGTCTGTTGCACAATGCCATTCCATGGTGTGACAAGAGCCTCAGCAGAATCACTAGCTACTGGAAAAAATGTCCTCAAAAGGTTCAAGAATGCTGATTTAAAAGTGCTGTGAGCTAAGCTAATGTGCTGTAAATGAAGTATCAGTTACTAGTGAGATCTGTTTTGTCCCCTAAACATCAAATACTCACTGAAGTTTTGCACTTTAATCCAGGCACAAGTTCAAAAGAAAAGAAGCATTGCCCATTTGTGATCACAAAACTTTTTGAATTAGTTATCTGGGAAACAGTGAGTTTTGTGTCATATCTTTGCTATAAATATCCGTAAACAAAGTTTGAGTAGACGTTATTAGCAAAGGACTCTCATGCATTACCATTGGCCCCTTTGTATCCATATTTCTATGCCACTTCAGAATTTATATACATGGCACCTGGCCAGGTTTTTGCTAGGTTAATTTCTTGCATTGCTTTAGGAAATTAATGGTGGTTTCATGTTTAAAGTAGCACTTTCAGTATTTTTCTTGTTCCAAAAAGTAAAAATTCAGGGGAAAGCAAATGAAAACATCTGCACTGACTCCTTTAGTTGAGTCTTTATACTTCCTCAGGGTTCTGAGAAGTATAATGTATTTAACTTTCAAATCTTTAATTGCCTTTATATTTCTACCATTGCCTCTGTACCTGCCAGAAAATGTCAGCTTGTTTAGAAGACCCTTCTCTCCCATATGCTCTCCTATTCCTTTCCAGACTAGCAAAAAGCTTGCTTTTCAATATGGTGGAGGCTCAACTATAGCCGACTTGGTAGACAGATGTCTACAGAAGCACCACATCAATGCAGACTCAGAATATTTCTTGTTAAAAATTTCCAGGAAGATGGCAACAGAGAGGTGGCAGTAGAGGCAAATGGATTTTTCACTAGTTCTACTTTAGCCAGTATACAAAACAGAATCTACTTGTGATTTATTTATTTATGTTATTATCTACTTAAGCTTAAGCTCTCTGGGCAGTTGACTTTTATAACTTTGTAAGACAAATCTCTTCTGTCAGTGTAGATAAAAGAAGCTGGCTAAATGCTAATATTATTCATAATAGAAAAATTGTAATTATTATTAATCAAATGTTTTAAGTGTGTTAGGTCACTAATTTTTAATAGCCCTTTAAGGTCAGCCAATATTAGCTGAGGCTGAGGAGTTTGAATTTGTTGTCCTTAACAGTTCAGCTTTGATTTTAACCAAGAACATCTAGCTCATAAATCATGTTCTTAACCACAGTGCTGTACCAGTACTAAAGAGTGAGCAGAAGTAATTACATAGCTCTGACTGAAGTGGATTGATTGCATCTGGTATCAGAGTAGTTTATTGTTCTGCTCTGGTTAGGATGATTGGTTGGACCACAATTCTCATCTGGTACGAAGAGGGTTAATGTCCTTCTCTGCCCATGATAGGCAAGGCACACATGATCAGGCTTTTTGCATAGGCCTTGACCTCTATCTCAAAGATAGAAAGATATATTCTAGGAATGTGTCTCATAAAATCAAACTGACTCTGCTTTCTAAACAAACTTTTGAGTTTCATTTAAACAAAGACTTTTCTATAGCACTCTCTCAGGTTATAGCCTCTCTCTCAGGTCAGAAGCAGTAGGTGTTGCCCATAATGACTTTGTGGTTCCTTTCAGGAAGCAAAACTCATTCAGGTTGTATCTAGCAGTTCTTTCACATTGTTAAATATGACTTTTCCCAGCCAGTTTTTCCACTGCTTCTGACTGGGTAGAAACTTGTTTTAGTTTCTATTTCAATAGACTCTCTACTTACACCTCAGTATAGTCTTGATTATTTCCTGTTTCTTCCTTAGCAATTCTATCTCTTTTCAGTTTCTTCTTCCACTTTTCATATTTTTTAAAAAAAAGAACAGTGTGTTTGTGGAGAGGGGGATCTTCTTTTGGCTCTTTTTTTCCTCTCCAAGTCTGAAAAAAAAAGAAGAGTGGTCAGCTACTAACATTAGAATTGGATA